GTCAGTAAACAGGCCAATTTAGTATCACAAAACATAGTATCCACACTACGCTCTATATAAGGAGCTTGCTGCAGAGAGGAGGTTGTCCTTCTCTTTAGTTCACAATCCAAGACCATCATCAACTAAAGCATGGTCCCACTCTGGTTTTATTAATTTTTCTCCTTTATCCTTATCCCTCCCCCTTCTCTTCAAGGCACCCACTCAAATGTATTTAAGTATGCTTTTAGTGGTGTGTACTCTGATGAAATTTTTGTAAGTCTTTAAAACATTTTGTATTTTGATATAATTTCACACATACCTGAAGTCACAAGAATACCAAAAGCTGACATATACCCTTTTTCCAGATTCATTTTTATGTTTTTACATGTTTACATTTTGCCCCATTTACTTTATCACTTTCTCTTTCTCTCCCCACTCATTCTCTCTCAACACACACATACGCACACAGAGAAAAATATGTAATATATTTTTCCTGAAATATTTTAATGTAGATTAGAGATTTATCCCTAAATATTTCAGCATGTATTTTCTAAGAACACAGACATTTTCTTATACAACCATAGCACTGTTATCAAAATCAGGAATTTAACAGTGATATAATACTGTTACCAAATTCACGGTCCACGTTCTAATTTCATTCAATTTTCCATTATTTCCCTTTATTGCAACTTTTTTTTTTTCTGGTGTAGGATATAATCCAGGATCACTCTTTACACTTATTTTGCATTTTTTTAGACTTCTTTAATCTAGAATAGTTTCTTAGTCTTTCTTTTGCCTTTATGACATTGAAATTTCTGACAAGTATAGGCCAATTACAGAATGTTCCTCAATTTAGTTTGTCTATTATTTTCTCAGACATTAATTTAGGTTATGCACTTTGAATAGGAATAGAATTGAGTTAACAGTGTGTCTTTCTCAATGTATCATATTGGAAAACACATAATATGGGTTGGCCCCCATATCACTGATATTCTCTTTCATCATTTGGTTAAGGTGATGTATATCTGGCTTCTCTACTTTTGATTAACAAGTAATTTATAGGAGAATATTTTGGATTATGTAAATATCCTTTTCTTTATCCAACTTTCATCTATTAAATTAAGTATCCATTAATGATTTTCTAACATTATCTATGAAGTGCTTATAATTTAATTGAATTTAAACTTTAAATCTTTCCTTTTCCATTCAACACTAAGATTTCTTATTACTGTATTTACATCTATGCGTTGCTTTTATCCAGGATATAACATACTATAAAATGCATTTGATACACATTTTACTCATCTAATCCTTTAGTGAGGACTCACCAAATTTGGAGTTTCCTCCAACTCCCACCAATAACATGCTGCAAAGAATATTCCTATACAACTCTACATTCTCCTTTATGGGTCTGGTTAAGGACTTCTCTAGGAGTTACACCCAAGAGCAGGATTGCTGGCTACAAAGTACACATGTATTAATTTCACCAACAACTACTTTCCTGAGTAACTATGCTAGTTCACTGTGATATTGTGATTTATAAAAGATATATATTTGGTCTTTCACTGTTCCTGGCACATAGCTCCTAAAACCCTTGGAATTTCCTAAATGAAGAGAAGATAAAGGTGGCATTTTTTTGTGTTAATAAGACAATGTAAGAAACTCGGGTAAAGATGGGTGCTGGTTGCTAGGAGAACCAATCTAATAATTAGACGGTTGAAATTTTCAGTCCCACCCCCTAACCTCTGGGGAGGAGAGAAGGGCTGAAGGTTGAATCTGTCACCAACAGAAAATGATTTAATCAACCATGCCCATGTAATGAAGCCTGCACAAAAACCCAAGAGGATTGAATTTGGAGAATGTCCAAGTTGGTGACTACATGGAGGTGCTAGGAGGGTGGAGCACCTAGAGAGGGCATGGAAGCTCTGCATCCTTTCCCAATACCCTACTCTATGCATCTCTTCCATATGGCTGTTTCTAAGTTTTATCCTTTTATAATAAACCAACGATCTAATAAATAAAATGATTCTCTGAGTTCTATAAGCCACTCTAGCAAATTAATTCAATCCGAGGAAGGTATAGTGGGAACCCTTTGATTTATAGCTAATGGGTCAGAAGCACAAGAGATAACCTGGGCTTACGATTATTGTCTAAAATGGGGGATGGGGAGTCTTATAGATGACTTATTAACCTGAGGGATCTGACTCTACCTCCAGGTAGTTAGTGGCAGAACTAAGTTAAATCGTAGGATGCCCAGATGGTGCTGTAGCATTGCTTGTTAGAGATGTGGGGAACACCCTTCCCCCCAAGAATTGAAATTGAGTGCAGAACCAAAATATTCACCCTCTTGTAAGTAGTGCATGAGTATTCCTTTCCCCAAATCCTCACCAGTACATGGTATTATGCAGTTCTCTATTTTTTTCCCAAACTGATGAGGAAAATGCATTTCTAAGATTACTGGTGGGCTGGAACATCTTTTCATCTACTAGTCATTTATGTTTTCCATTTTTGATTTGCTTTTCCATTTTCCTATGGAGTGTCTTGTATTTTTATTTTTCTTTATAGGCATTCTTTCTACAGTTTAGATGCCTCATTTGTTTTGCATTGAAAATAACCTCTGTTGTTCGCCATTGGTTAACTCAGAGTGCTTTGTTCCTTACGAAACAAAAGGGAACCACATATTTATAACATTATGGGCAAGTCTAAAATCACAGTGATGTCGATCACTTTTGCAGTTATGAAAAACTTATCATTGTGTTTAAGTAAGTTATTAGGTATTTTATTCCAATGATTATTTATTTTATTCTATTTCATTTCTCAGATATTAAAAACTCCTTTAAATTCATGCCTTTAGGCCCTGCCTGATCTAGTAACAAAGGCCTGGACTAAGGATTTGTCCCCAGAGAACATCTTATTGAGATCATGCACTGTTGATATACTGTGGACAAAGTCATTTCATATTTTTGGTCCTTGGTTTGCTCTTTTAATTAAATGAGCTATTTGACCTGTTATTTTGCAAATAATTATTGGAAGGACAAAATGGAAATAAATTATGTAAATTTGTTTTATAAACCATAAAGCACTCTATTTGTATAAGGAGTCATAACTGCTATTAATCATAATAAATATAAGAAGAAAGGTTGCTAAAGAAGGCTGGTGTTAAAAACAGTATTACAGGCTTACCTTTCTATACAGCTTTTTCTTTCAGTTTGAAGGCAACCAAATCACCCTTATATCTGTAATCATATAGGTCATATAAATGTAGTCATAAATGACTACAAGCTTTCTCAGAATATTATGACACGACTCCATACATCTTTCTTTAGATTAAAGAATAAATTACTTCTTTTCCTGTGCAAAATTTTAAAAAAATCTTCATCAAACTTTTAAAGAAAAATCCCTGCCTAATCCATAATTTTTATATCTTCTGTGATTTGTTTAATTACTTATACAAGTACCATATCAAAGATCTAGAAGCACAGAGCTCAGACTCTGCTCAGTTTGAATCTTGTTTGGCAATTATTTGCCGTGTAATTTTGGAGAAGTTACTTTGCCTCTCTGTTTCCAGCATCCTCATCTACAATAGGGTGCAATAATGATACCTCAGAGCACTATATTGGTTAACACAGCTAAGTGTTAAATGAAAATGTGTTGTTGTTGTTGTTGTTGTTGTTGTTGTTGTTGTTGTTGTTGTTAATACCAAGTACCATATCAAAGATCTAGAAGCACAGAGCTCAGACTCTGCTCAGTTTGAATCTTGTTTGGCAATTATTTGCCGTGTAATTTTGGAGAAGTTACTTTGCCTCTCTGTTTCCAGCATCCTCATCTACAATAGGGTGCAATAATGATACCTCAGAGCACTATATTGGTTAACACAGCTAAGTGTTCAATAAAAATGTGTTGTTATTGTTGTCGTTGTTGTTGTTGTTGTTATTATTATTATTATTATTATTATTTAGATTTGACATTTTCAAGGCTACTTCTCTTGAGATTTCATGCTCTAATCTAGAGGTTATACTTCTTTTAAAAGTTAGGGAGAGATAAGTATACAAATGACAGAAAAACAGAAGTGTTTTCTAAGCAAACGCTTGGTACAAAGCTTTGTCTTCACCATCTCAGTGTTGGGTTCTGCTTTTAAAGACTATTGAGCCCAAGAAAATGGAAAAGTGCTGCTTGTTCTCTTCCATTATGTTTTCTCACTGTTGTAAAGAGGAAGCTGTACCAAAACACAGCTCAGAATCTGGAGAGACACTGGAACTGAGCAGCAGGTCAAATTCTGAGTTTGAAACTGTAAGACCTTGAGGTAGGCTGGGGTTCAGGACAGGGATCCACAAAGAATGGGTTCCGTTGGGAAGAAGCCATAAGCCAAAGGGGAGGGCAGGGCCAAGAAGTCTGGTGACCAATGGAAAGAGGACTATGTACTGGTAACTGAAGTCAGAAGAAATGTTGCCACGTAAAATCATAAAATGCAGATCTCCCCAGAAACGATAAGGGAGTTAGAAGATTCTGGCCAACAATCAAAACAAAACAAATGTTATTCTTCATAAGGTTGGGACAAAGCAGAGGGTTAAGAAACCAGTAATCAAGATTAGCCAAGGTCAAGAAACCAGTCAACTAGATTAGCCAAGGTCAGGTGTGCAGTAAATTCTCAACAACTTGTGTGGGGCAATGTGTAGAATCCAGGTCTAGAACATCAACGGGAAAAACTTAATGACAATCACCAATCTGTCTTATGCTTCTGATCTTAGGTTAAGTACTGAACGCAAGATTTGAACAACAGGTGAGAGCAGGTAAAGATTTGTGAGACATTTCACCTCTCTTGAGCCCTGTGTGAGTAAGAGTGCAAGTGAACCTAACTAGCGATAATCAATGATAAGAGCCAGATTGAACTGTATTAGATGTCACTTGGCTTCTTTTGAGAATCTATATATCCGAAAATAAAATAAAACGAATATTTGTTGTAACAATATATACACTGTGAAAAAAGATTATAACATAAATTGACTATATACCTAAATTAAACAAATACGAATAATTGTATTTCATTGTGTTTAAAGGAAATCCACAAAAATATAAATATTTTTGGGCTTCCAAGTCTTTTCTCAATAGTTCATCTACTAGAATGTCTTGCGTCATGCCCAATTCCCTCTCTCTTTTGATCCATTGTCTTCTCCTGATCTCTCTGTTTCTGTTGCTCTCTTTTACCATACTGGATAATATTGTCCTTTGAAGTTTTACTGTTCTTGTTGCTATTCATGTTGCCAGAGCCTATGTTACCCATTGCAATTAGCCACCTGTCCAGCCTTTGTCATGACTGCAATTGGGCTTTGCTGATCTTTATTGCGCTTTGTTATATGTTCATTACATTTATCTTTTTTTTTTTTTTCATTTTCACAAGCATTTATTATTGTTGTGTTTTTCAGTTTGGAGCGCAAGAGTCTGAGCATATTTATTCAAAATTGTGTCTGAATCAATAAACAAAGAGCAGAATGTCAGAAGCAATGAGTGTATCTTCAAGGAGTACAGCATTAAAGCCCGGATAAGCCATCAAAAACCAGGGCTCCAACCCAAGTGAGCCAAGTGAAGAGTTGGAACCAATCTTAGAGATAGAGCAATCACAGGAACTGATGTGTGACTTGGTAATAAAAAATAACAACAAAAATAAAATGGATTATGTCTTTCAATTGTCTATTATGGGCCAGATACTTTCCATCCATTTACTAAATCCTGTGAGGCAGATATTTTTAACTTCTTTTTATAGAAAAGGAAATGGAGATCCAAAGAGGTATAATACTTAACTAAGATGTGATGGAGCCGTGAGTCAGATTGTGGCTCATCGGATTCCAAAGCTCATAGTTTTCCTCTAATTCCATATTTCTCTGGATGGACAAGAGGTACAGAGAAGGAGACAACGTAGAAGAATTAATGTAGCAGAGTTCAGGCACACTGGGGAGAGTTTTTGAGATTACCATAATTCCTTCATAGAAATTATAAGTATATTTTAAGAGGGAAAATCAGGATATATAGTCAAGATGTCCTGGGAGTGTTAAGATGAAAGAAGTATTCACATGCAAGCAGGCTAGAAGCCAAGAAGAAAGGAAGCCGAGAAGAACTAAGCTAGGCTCTTGAGACTAGAGGCTAGATAGATATCAAAGACCTTTAAATCAGACCATTTGTGTCATTTCGGCCTAAATCAATCATCCCTTAGGGATGATTATGTGACCTAGTTTTGGCTAATGAAAACTTAAGGGCAATCTGCTGGAGTGGGGCTTGTGGGAAAGACTTTTCTACCTAATAAAAAGAAAAAAAATTGAGAAGACTTCCCACCCCTCTCCTGCTTGGGACATTGTCATATAAGTATGTGGCAGCCATTTTGTGACCATAAGGGAGACATGGGGAAGTAAAAGTATTCTATGAAATATCAATATCTGACCTTTTATATCCTTTGAATATTGTCAATAGTTTGGAAAGTACTTTTATATACTTAATCTCATTTATTGCTTAAATAATTCTGTGAGCTGGCTATTATATGTGAACTAGAAGGGCCTAAAATCTGTAGATTCAACCAAAGTGACAGCGGATGATGGAAAATAAAGTTACCTAGTGTTTCCAGGTAGTTTTCTAACTAACTCTGTACAATATTCTGAAATAGTTTCCAATGTTGCCTAAAATGAGCTCCCGAAAGAACTTTGGACTTTAGCCCCTCAGGATGTTTCAAGGAAAATTAATTAGTGGTTTAAAACACAGGTTTGTGTTTTGCTCAGAAAAGAATATTGGAATGGTTAAAGGCAAATATGGTCAGGCAAAACTATAAAGAGTACACAAGCACTTGTTGACACAATTTAGGGGCCAATTACTGAGGAAATGCCAAAGGCTTCATGCCACTTGAGAAACTAGTTAGAGCACAGACCTTGAGAGTCATTTATCATAGAAATTTTATTATCATTCATTTGGAGAAATTTAACATAGGGTTTCAAGGCAAATTCATCACGGCTTTAACTCGTGGGTACCCATATTTCTACCTTCTAAGTACAAAAACTTTTATTATGTTAAGTCTTGAAGTAAAAAAGTTGACAAAAGTACTAACCATTGTATATAACAATGTTATAAAGTGACGTTGACCTAAAAACAGAAGCTCTTGTAAATAAAGGAAAATACAGAGGAAATATATTTACTCAGTGTTTGTCATGTACCAGACACTATATATTTTGTGATCTAATTTGACTTTCCCAACATCCTTATGAGATAAGATTATTAGTAACCTATAAAAGTGAGTATATCATAAATTTAATGAAACCAGTTTTCAGTATACAATAGACCAGAATATTATTCTGAATCATTAGACTCTCTCTTTGTGGAAACAAAACATGCAAACCATTCAGTTAATTCAATTTTTAAAATTGAGTCAAATGACCTTGTTTTATTCTTTGCCAGAAAAAAAAAAAACCCCTACTTGCTGAATAACTAAATTAAAAAAAAAAAAACCTTTTAGTTAATTATTTTGAGATTGTACATTTGAAAGGATCTCAAACAAGCTGGTTAAATGTATTTGGTTTGGAGGCATCTGATATAATTATCCTTCTACTTCCTACTTGATAAGAGCAGTTTATATGAGCTACCTTATTAAATTATCCCAAAATCCTATGAGGTATTAGCATAATGCCAAAATTTCAGAGCAAGAAAATTGCAAAGGTGAGACCCAAGTCTAAGTGTGTCTTGCTCCAATGCCCATGTCCACTACTTATTGCTATGATCACCACACTGTTTTACTTTAATAGATAATATGAGAAAATTCCTTTGAACTTTAAACTACAAAACAAACTGCTTCACTGAATGTAGGATCTGTTAGACAATTTTTTTAAATGAGAATTTTATGTATTTCCTATTTTTCTCCTTTATGGAGTTGCAGAGGAGCAAAGGAAAGAGCTGAGCTGTTATTTCCAAGTGATACTGCATGAATCATGCAATGGCTGTGTCAATCATGTGAATACACTAGTAGTATAATTTTGATTTTTAAAGTCCATCTCTACAGTCCTATTTCTATACTATGTAGTGACTCAACTGATTGTCAATAGAAAGGCTCAATGCCTACCACTCTCTTCCCAGCCCCAAACCAAGCTTAACATCATTTTTTGAATAGGCAGGTATGGGCAGTCACAGTCTTAGTCAAGATGGACATTAATTTTAATAAAAAGAAAGTGATTTTATGGGCATTTGATTAAGACAAGTCTTAGACATGCCCTGCCTCTTGGTGACTAAAACTTTGGCTAGTTACTTAATGTCTCTGAGCCTCAGTTCTATTGCCTAGAATTGTTTTTCAAACAGTATTTCTTAAATTTCCAATCCATTTGAAGAAAAATATTTTTGTAAGATACATTAAAATGAATTACCAGAAAAACAAAATAGAAAACATAAATTTATAAACTACACAATCCTTTTTTAAAGTATTAGATTCAACAGGCAAAAAAATATTACTCTATTAAAAGTTTCTAAATACCTACTCATAATTTCTCATCTTACTGTGGACTGGAGAGAAAGAGTACAGCCTGCCACCAGTCCAAGAACTGCATTTGAATAACACCCATCTTTAAAACTAAGGATAAAAATATCTTAAATCATTGAAGTGTTGTTAGAATTCAATGCACTATGTATGTGAAATGCTTTGAAAAGTGCTGAGCACATACAAAACATAAAGAAATTCTACTTTCTTCAATAAAACTAAACCTAAACCTCTAAGGAAATAGCACCAGGTAGAGAATCTCCTGGGAAAAGTGAGCAAGGTAAAGCTCCTGACTAAGGGCACTTGACCTTGTTCTCCAACTTTACCTTCCCATTGAGATTCTCTTCTGCTCTTTCTCCCTTGCTCTCATTCCCACTCTAGTTCTCTCTGTCAATTCCCTTCCTGATGCTGCCACGATATTGGCTTCATGGTGGGATAAAACTCCTTCCCATGCAGAGTCAGAAACAAAGCACCAGGTATATCTACAATCCAGTTTATAAGGTATAAAGTTCCGGCCCCAACCTAATTTGTCCACTTTTTGGTTCCATAAGCTCTTTGGCATAGAAATTCTTGAGTCAGATTGCTGACCACTCAACTCTATTCTTTAATTGTTATTTGTCTTTGCAATTCGCTTAATAGCTCGGTGCTTCAATTCTCTCATGCATAAAATGGGGGGAAAATAATAATTTATTGGACTGTTATGAAGATTAAATGATCTAATATATATCGGGAGCTGAGTATAGCACCTGGGCCATAATAAGAGACCTTCTCAGTAAGTGTCAGCTGCCATCATCATCATCATCATCATCATCATCATCATCGTCATCATTTAAAATGCCTGGGCCTTCACTCCTCAGCTCCTGGTCAAGCTGTACACAGCAGAAGTCATTCTGAATGGGCCCTAGAGAAATACCCTCCTAGACAAAAGCTCCTGCCTAGGAGAGATGCTATCACATCACCTACATGACTGATCCTTACTCTTAGATTTACTTTCTACTTAGAGAGATACTCCTTTTCCCTGAATTGGTACAGGAATAATCTCATCTTTTAAGTGAGAATCTTTCACCTATTTATCTGGATGTGGCTTACCTGTATAGGGCTACAGACTATCCTAACACAAACTATTGTCACTTTCATGTAACATGCAACACAATTTATAATATGCTTCGATATCCAGAAACCATTTCCCCACTGTAGGTTTTGTATCAATTATCTAATGCCACAATAACATTGTATAACAAACCACCACAAATCACACAACGATGAACATTTATTACCCATACATCTGGGATGTGTCCTCAGAAGCTTCGCTAATCTTGACTTAGATAAGCAATTCTTCTGGTCTTGGTTGGACTTGCTTATATGTGTGAGGACTGACTGATATGTGTGGCAATAGGTTGTTGACTGACCTAGGATGGTCTCAGCTGAGATGACGGGTGATTTAGCTCTGTTATGTGTGTCTTTTATCCTCCAGCAGGCTAACACAGACATGTTCTCATGGCTATGGCAGAGTACAAGACCAAGTGGAAACCCAGGCATTTTTCAGGTCTCTGCTGGCATCACATTTGTTAACATCCCATTGGCCAGAGCAGGTCATGAGGCTGAGCTCCAGGTAGGAGTGGGATAGTGTTACAAAGTTACATGGACACCAGCATGGGTAGTGTGCTCATTAAATGTTAGTTATGCCTTCTATTTCCTTATATTACTGTTCAATCAGATCAGGAAAACCACTTACTGATTCATATTACCAAGTCAAGCCAAGATTTTATTAAATATACACTCTAGGATTTGGTTGGTTTGTTTGTTTTAGTGAAATCTGTAGGGTGTTTTTTCTTTTCTTTCTTTTCCCCACTAGGCAGAAAAGTAACAAAACAGATTCATTTTTAATAATAGATATTTGAACATTTCATGTCATAATCTCTAGGATGACTTATAACTCCTATTGGGACCAGTCTTTATCCCACGGAATTATGCTAGTCTCACAAGTGAATTTAACACTCAAGGAATAATACTCAAACAGCCACTTATTAGAGTTGAATGCTTTTCTCATAAAACTTGCAAAATATAAAGTGAGCTTTCCTACTGGAGGTAGACTCTAGGGAGATTTCCTGTGTTAGAAATTTGATATTTTC